AAGTGCCAGTGGCAGTTATTTATTGACATTTTCAGGATTCTTGTCTTTAGAAACTTTAGCTCATATCATATTTCCCACGGCTTTTAAGGTTTTAAAGTCACGCTGATGAATTTTGGAGAGTCAAGTTTGGTTGCTAGTGGACCCTCCCTGAATCATCTTAGCGTACACAGGTGACACTCATATTCAGATTACAATTAAACTATATAATTTCAGGGTGGAACTATGCAGTCAAAGCTTGGAGGGCACACTAAGGACTCCACAGTCTTCTAAGGAATTTGCACAACCTGAAGTTCCTTAGTGTTTGCACAGAAAAATCTCTGGTTACCATTACATTTTTATCATTTATACTCGTGGTCAAGAGATCTTGGCAAAATTCCACCAAGGCCAAAGAACACCAGTCTAAGCATAGATTAATACATGCAAAAAGTTAATTTTATGGACTTTTGCTATGAAGCTAAACAATGAACATATAAGGACCTTATAATAAAGTAAAAATGACCGCTAATTATATATACATGCTTATTATTTATATCAGGAATACATCACAAAATATATTATCGGCAATTGGGTTTGAGGTACAACTCCATTGTTCAGATTTATTTGAGAGACAAATAACTAAGGAAATGAAATTGCATATTTCTTAAATTATAATTCCTAATCAATGCTAGATTAGAAGGGCCACAGTGATTACCAGGAATAATGTACTGTAAGGCAAACCTGGAAAAGAAAATAATATGCAATGTGATGCTGCCTACAGTCTCTCAGTAAAAAGCACTCAAATATGAGTACCGTCCCATCTGTAGCCCACCTTGAACAACAAGCTTCCATATTTTTTTTTGCAACAATACCCTAATCTAGAACAGTTTCTAGCTAGTCCTGTTGACCCATGACTTTTGAAGGTTCCTTTTCTATCTTCCCTAGATTTGGAATTATTCTTATGTAATAGTAAGCAAATCTCTACTTTCATCTTGGAATACCTTAGGCACAGCAAGATGGAGACTATGTTATGAGGATAAATTTAAAAAAATATCACAGCTAGAACCAGAATATTTGGAGAAGCCTTAGTAAGACCAGCTTGAAGTCTTGTTCTGAGTATCACTATTAGAGGAGTAGTAAGTGAAATGGGAGCAAGTTTAAAGAAAGGCAGTAGAGATCTTGAAACTAGAATTTATTTATTTTTTAAGTGAAACTAAAGGACATACCACGTTTCCCTGAAAATAAGACCTATCCCCAAAATAAGCCCTAGCCTGATTTTTAAGTATGTGCTCAATATAAGCCCTACCCCCAAAATAAGCCAGTGTGTGGGCATGGTCAGCACAGGAGGTGGCGAGCACGCAGGGGCCAATGGCATCGGGCAGCAACTGCAGGCAAGCAGAGAGATGTTGGGATGGAGTAGTCGGGCACGACAGATGTGTTAATTGCTCAGACACATCTGTTTTCTGCCAAGGGCAGAAAATAAAACACCACCAAAAAAAGTAACTAAAGGGAGGGTGTTTTACTTAGCTTCTTGGTATTCTGATTCAGAAGCCCACATACATTAAAGGCCTGAGTTGTAACCTCCCCACCGGCTGAGGAGGCGACAATAAAGCTAGAGGAGAAAACTTATCCCCCGCCCCGTCCTCTGGGCCGGGAACAGCCAATGACCACCTGCCCAACCAGGTGTCCCCTCATAAACATGGACAGAGATCCCTGAGGCGGTACTTAGCACAGTGGCTCCTTCACTTCCCCAGTCACCTCATGGAGTTCAGCCCCTTCCCTCCTCGCCAATGTGACACCAGCAGCCAGGCCTTGGCACCAAGTGCCGCCTATGCATGAGAGTGAGGGTGCGACGTGGCTCAGCATAGCATTGGGACCAGCAATGTGGGCAAAGCGACACCGTGAGCTTGGCCTAGACCTGATTTGGTCCCTTAACTGTTGCTCCATGGATCGGCTGAGCCAGCGAGGGCAGGGAGCTTCTTGTTCCATCTCTCTGGCACCTGGAGGTGTTTCTGGCGCACTCTCACTAGCCTCCCCACCCTGCCCAGGCAATCTCTCAGCTGAAGGTTCTGTGGCTCTGAATGAGGCAGCCACCATGGTTTGTGTGCCACCAGGCCTGGAACTTGAGTTTTGCTCAGGCTGCTACTGTGACGAGGCAAAAAGCCATGTGGTGCATTGGGGTCACCAGTTCCTCCCATGTCTCTGCCTGTTGCTGGTGCCACCACACATTGGAATCACCTGCCTACATAAAATTAGATGTCAATCCAGCGCACCATCTTGTCTGTGGCTGCAATGGGGCATAAGGCTGCACTGCGCAGGATCACCTTCCCCCCTGCCTCTGGCCGGCTGCTGTGCCTGCTGCTGCACGCCTTGCAGGGGCTCTTTGCTCTGCACGATTTTGGCAGGTTATCTGGCAGGTGGAGTGAGGCAGATTTACCTCTTGCCACCAGCCTCACCTCATCTTGTGGTGGTGGTACTGGACAGGATGGGCAGAAGGCCAAGGTGATGGCAGCAAAACAGCCACAGGTGATGCAGAGGCAAAAAAGCAGCCCCGTGCCTGCTTTGCAAAGCCAGTAGGAAAGCAGGCTGGTGGTGGGAGGGAGACGTTCTGGAGATCGTAGATCTGGGCAAATTCACCCTGTGCCAGGCCAAGGACAGCCCAGCAACTGAGAGCAGCACAGCCCGGAGGGTGAAGAGCCCCTTCAAGGCCAACGGCAGCAGATGCAACAGGCCCAGCAGCCTGGCAGAGGCCTGGTGATCCTGATGCACCGTGTGCCCTTCTGCCCTACGCGGTCTTCTGCCCTGTCACAGCTGCAGACGACGCGGCGGATTGACATCTGAATTAATGGAGGCAGACGGTTCTGATGCATGGTGGCATTGGCAGCAGGCAGAAGTACAGGGTGGCAGGTGATCCTGAAACACCTCACTGCCTTCTGCCTCATAGCAGCAGCCCGAGCAACGCCCAGTATCCCGGTAGCAGCAGGGCCAGCAGGCAGGGTGGGCGGAGGCCAGGGCGCGCCAAGAGCTTGGCCCTTGTGGCTGTGGGAAGCAGATGGTGAGACAGAGAGAACTGGGTCAGCGGTTGCAGCATTCCCACTCCCATCATCCCCTGCGTTCACTACTGCCTGTATGTGGAAAACACCCATTCAGACTTCCTCTGAAAATAAGCCCTACTGCTTATTTTAGAGCCCCCCAAATTAGGATCTTATATGGGGAGAAACACAGTAGATTCATTTAGCCTTTAGAACAGGTAACTTAAAGTGGATATTCTTCGGATCTTGAGGTTAGAAAAAAAAAAACCCTGAAAAATTTGTTCTCTCTGCTTAATTTTAAAGTATGTGCCATTGAATAATGGGTCTTAAGGTAAAGCGGTTTGTAACTGAATACTAGAAAATATCAGATTCTAACTGAATATTAGAAAAAAAGACCACGTTACTGACAGTATGAATAGTTTGAGAGTCAAAGCTATTACTGAGAGATAGGATGGTTGCTTTTCATTAGATGTATTCAAGCAAGAGCTAGACTTTAATTTGGGTTATTGCATTTAGTATTGGTCTAAATGGCCTCTATCGTTCTGTGGTTTTATGATTCAGGTTTATCAAAAGGAACACCAGTGACAAGGAATATCATAGTTGAATTTTGGCTGACATGTTGACTATGAACTAACCCAGACCAAGGTTAACATTATTACTAGAATATTTTGATGTCTCAGGGTGTCTTGGTGTTGTCCTGACCAATGCCTCCTTGTTTTTAGTGTGGGTTACCCTCAAGTAATATATAATAGTTTTCTTTAATTTGGGTTCCGTGAGTGTTAATTTCAGCTCCTTAAATTCTTCTGTTACTGAGTTAATTTCTGAAGTGTACACGTACATGTTAAACTTTGCAAAGAATGGCTAGGAAATAGGAAAGGACAAACTTGCAGAATATGGCAAAATTACAGCTGTCTACCTTGAATGCTCTTGCATTCAGGGATCAAAGTTGAAAGATTTGGGTTCATATGCAACAGTAGATATGAGACCATAGACACAAAACATGAGTAATAAAATAAACTGCTTTATTTAAACAATTTCAATAATCAATTCCCATTCCCATTCTCATTCACTCCCTTTAATGCACCTTCTCTTGGCAGGCTGATGTGGTACTGGATGGAAAGATGCTACATGCAGCAGGGGACAGATCTGGTTGGTTAAGGACCAGGTTAGAAATCAGGAGACTGTGAGTTCTAGTCTTACTAGAGGCCTGGGTGACTTTGGGCCAGTTTCTCACTTCACAGGGTTGTTGTGGGGAAAATAGGAGGAAAGTGTATTAGATATGTTTGCCACCATTAGTTATTTATAAAAACAAAAAAGTCAGGATTAAAAAATCTAAAATCTATATAAGGTCTATACTGAAATTACAATCCATAAACTGTGTGGCCCGTTGTCAGTTTAATACTAAAAGGGAAAGGAATAAGCTATGCAAAGGGTTTGCCGCATTTGTTATATAACAAAACTATGGTGGATTAGACACGCGTTTCGAACAAATCCCCAGTGCTACTGTGCAGAATCTAGGCCCCTGCCAACTGTAGTAGATTGAATTTTAGTTTGGTGAAAAACTATTCTTTATGGAGTGTATCGGTTATAAATTCCTAAAGATCTATCTGTCCATTAATTGGTGAAACTCATTTATCACAGTAAATGTTTATCTGGATTCCTTTTTTCTTAGACTAAAATCCGAAATTTGATGTAAAGGACTAATACTAAGGATGTATGGATACTGATTCGTACTGCCATTTAGTATATTTCACAATGTGGCAAAGTCTTTATCTTTTGGGTCTAAAGTCTGTATTTTTTTGTGTCACGTGGATTGTAGGATGTGTTTTACATTGGAATTTTGAAACACGAATGGTAATTGAAACGTTAAAATGTCACTTTACCATTTTAAATTGATTTTTTAAATTTTTGATCCTGTTGGAAATTCTTGAAGTGAATTTGAAAATGGAACAAGAAAATGTTAACTATACCTTAATATTTTGTGATTCTTAGAAAACAAGGATGACGACAAAGCAACTGTAGGAGAGTTAAGAGGGCCAGAACAGTCACGTAATCAAAACATACAAGCAGATACACAAGACCAGCCCATATGGGGTAATTGCAGTGATGGTAATCTCATTAGAAGTAAGTATTTACAAAATAGCAAAGCTACTGTTCCTTTTTTGGGGGGGACAGGGGGGTGGAGGGAGTTTTCAGTGTAAACTGCCTATAGGCTATTAATGTACTACAATATGTTATCAAATATATCAAATTTCTTCCGAAGAATTATTTTTGTAAAAAGAAGAGAAATGGTATCACAAATAAGTTATACTGGTGATTTTGGTAAGCTTCATATGTTGTATTGAATTATAAATCGTTTATAAAACATAATGACTAAATTCACATACTGTTCTACCCTAACCAAACAAACCACATTGTAATTTAGATTGGTAGATAGATAATTACAGCAATATGTGTTATATAATTCTGGTTATTTTCTGAGATGACATATCTTGTTAAACTCCAACAGGATTTATTTGTTTGTGGTTTAGAGCAATGTGTAAACCCATCATTATTGTTTATAAACCAGGTTCATTATTTTTGCATTTGGATGATCCATTCTGTTATGTATATTTGGCAATAAAACATAACTAAAACAAACTAAGGCTTAGGTATAGCCTCATTGGTTGGTGTATGCAGGAGCATTATAGGATAACTAGAATATATTTCAAGAAAGATATATCATGTTATCATTTAAGTTTCAAATAAGAAGCTGAACAAATCCAATTGCAGCAATACTATTGTGGCAATTGAAGAATTTTGAATAATTACTTTGGAATTTCATTAAAGGATTGTAACATCTACGGTAACAATGTTTTGATATGTAGGTTCTACAGTAGATAGAATAGAACACAATAGAATAAAAACTTTATTGTCACTTTAAATGTATATCAATCAGCAGACATTAAAAGGAAATCTTGTTGCATTCAGCTCTCAGAAGATAACCATTACGCATATTCCCATATACACACACATATATGACACAGAGAAACATCACAGTCTAGTTCAAACATATACATATACATGTGAGTTTACAAAACGGATGGCATAAGGAACAAAGCTGTTACAGAATCTGGTAGTCCTGTAGATACTTTGAAACTCCTCCCAGAGGGGAGCAACAGAAACAGACCATGAAGTAGGTCTATGGGGTTTCTAACAATACTCTGAGCTCTAAATACATAGCCTTTATAAGCAATATCCTGAATAACGGGAAGCGAGCTTCCTATAATCTTCTCAGCTGTCCTTACCACTCTCTGTATGGACCTTCTGTCTGATGCACTGCTATCATCAAACCAAACAGTGGTGCAGTTTGTTAACAAGCTCTCAGTCGTGCCTCTGTAAAAAGTAGCTAGAACAGAACAAGAAAGATGGGCTTTCCTCATCCGATGCAGAAAATGCAAACATTGGTTTGCATGCTTCACTGAAGATAAAGTATGAAGAGACCAAGTCAGACTGTTAATTATCTGCACCCCCAGATACTTAATACTATTGACCACCTCCACAACTGCAGTCTTGATACAAAGTGGTGTATGACTATGTCAGTTCTTTCTAAAATAAACAAGGATTTCCTTTGTTTTGTTAACATTCAAAACCAGGTTATTTTTATTCCACCAGTCCACCAAAGCCTTCACCTCCTCCCTATAAGAATCTTCATTATCATCCCAGAGAAGACCCACCATTATAATATGATTCATAACAGATTTAGCATAGCAGTCATGGATCATCAAGGTGAACAGGGATAGAATAGAATAGAATAGAATAGAATAGAATAGAATAGAATAGAATAGAATAGAATAGAAT